TCTTCAAAGCATTTCTCTTGATTCATTCTCGCATGAATTCAGTCGTTTTACATATATTATATTATATATTATATCTGTCTTTGAACGTGCTTATTACAGCGAGAATGGTAAATTCCGTGCTACAATTTTATAAGCTCTGTTAGTCGTCCAATCGAATATCTTACAGAATTCAATTTGCACCTTCTCTATATCTTTAAGTTCTCTGGCTGAGCTTTCGCCTCGCTCTTTTGTTTCAACTTCAAGTCAGTCATCAGCGGTGAGTGGCACGTGCTCCGATCTCCGATCGATCGATAGTAGGTATTATTTTAAAAACAAGGCGGGAATGTTGCGGCCCGGTTTTTTATTTTGATGGCTTGGCCAACTCCTCTAGTTTTTCGTGGCCGAATCCACATGTAGTCCCGAAAAAGTCGATCAAAGCAAAGCTACGGCTACTTTGACCAATGGTAAAACAATGCACAAACAATACGAGTTGACCAAGAAAGAGATTGACTGGACATCGTAATAAAGCTAGACCAAAGACTGAGTAGGCAGTTTCTATATTGCTTACAGAGAACAATGTGTGGGCAAAAATAGTAAGACTTTTTCATTTGAATTTCGCGAAAAACCCATTCTTCAAAATATTTGTAGGTTAGTACGACTGTCACTGACAACTGTACCAAATAACCCATAAAAATAATCATTAGTGTTTAGTATACGCTTGTCTATCTGAAGTACATAAATTATATTCGGCGAAAAAATTATTCAACAAAGAAGTACCATTATATTTTGGGTCCAGAACGCGTTGATGACGAACCACGCCCAGGACGGCCATTAACATCAATGATCGATAAAATAAAGGAATTGGTGCTTTAGAGTCGACGATTATCATTCAGAGATCTGACTGGAAGAATGAGTGAAAACCATTCTGAAAGATCATTTGGGCCAAAGGAAAGTGAAAGTACGATTTGTTCCAAAATCATTAAATTTTTTCGAAAGACGGCGTGGCGATAACGTCTGTAGAACAATTATGTGAAACAAATTGTTACTTCATTGTCAATCTCGGATCTACAACCCGGAAACAGACAACCCATCGTCCAAATATCGTGGCAAAGGTGAGCCGAAGTCGTAAAACCATGTCACATGTCGCAAGTCAAAAATCAAGGCTAAGTTGACAGTTTTCTTCTATTATTGAGATGTAGTGCACTACGAATTCCTTTCGACCGGCCAAACTCTCAACAAGTTATACGATTTGAGTGTTATGAGTCATTTGCGCGAAACTAATCGTAAAAGGAGGTCGGAATTAATGGGCCGACGATTCTTGATTTTTCCACCACAATGATGGACAGTCGCATACTGCATTTATTCTTCTCGAGATTTTTGCCAAATTTTCAATCAACTCCGTATTCAGCAAACTCAAACGGGCGCTACGTGAAACCCTTTTTGAGTCAATTGAAGAAATTAAATGTGAATCGCTAGGTATAAATGTATAATATTTAAAAGAATAAATTAAGAATTTAAAAGTTATGAACAAATTCTACTTTTTTTTCGCATAGCACATAATCTTATTCGAATGACCACATTTTGTTTTCATAAAAGACTGTCATTGTTCAATAGCAGCACGCACATTTTCCTTTGGTATATTGGATCTAGATATATTAAAAGTAAACCGTTATCAGCAAACAAACGAAATCCACATATTCTCACTCACTTTTAGCTTCGCTTCTGTTTACTTTTTATTCAGCTGACTTCAGTCCATTGTATAAACCTATCAGTATGCCTTCCGCCATTGAAACTTGAGTTTCACCTTACGTGCCACAAATGTAAACAAATATCAAATTCATTAGTTCATTTTTCCACGACCACCAAATCCACACCCACAAATTCGAAGTGCAACAAAGCCGAGAAACTCCCTTATCACTTGTTTTCCACCCCTTTTTCGTTGGGTTGCCAAACCACACTGCTCCACAGGACAGCCTTTCACTGCGCAACAGCAAGTACGAGTGTCAAGAGCGCTAACACTCAGCATAACAACATGTGGCAAAGGCAAAGTGCGGTATAACGGCATCAAGAAGGCAGTAATCGTCAGTTTAACAACCGAAGTGTGGGCATTCAGTTTTTCTTCTAAGTTTGCTTATTGCATTTCATTCTAGAGTTTATTTTTCGCTTTTTAATTGCAATTTAAACAAATTGCAGAATACTTATAAAACGCAAAAACAAAAAGCTAATATATACTAAGTAACGTGGCGAAGGAAATATGCAATGCATTCACCGATAAACGCTTTCGAGTTGAATGAGCGTCTGATGACCGCAGTACAGACGGGCAACTTCCATGGCGTGCTCGATTGTCTGATGGAGGGTGCCCGGGCAACCATTGTTTCCACATCGTGTGGGCGTACCGCTGTTGGCACCGCGGCGCTGGTGGGTGATGCTGAGATCCTTGAACTGCTGATACAATCCTGTGAAGAACCTGATTTGGATATATTTAACAGAAGTAATGACCAAGTAGATACATGCATATGTATGCCTATATGAGTGTGTGTGTGTATAAATAATAGAAAAAATCGATATGTGCATGGGATATCAAGGATAGGGCTTTTGAACTCAGCTGTTTATTTTAATATATTCATACCAAACGAGAAAGACTAACACGGACGAATAAACCTACTAGTCGTACCCAAGTTCCTAATAAACGAGTATAACAAAGAGAACAAATATTTATATTTGCTTATCAACCGCCATTTCCCCCCAAGGTTAGCCAGCTGATAAGTAACTGCACTTTAACTAATTAAAAAGCGATCTTCCTAACTTCGAAAACAGTGCCTAAACCTCGTTCAAAGCACAAATTGAACAACTAACAATTAAGGAAGAGCACTTAGCTCGAGTATAATCGAACATTTCATGCTCTTGGTACTTAGAAGGACTACAGCTGCGGTAATACTTTCAGGTACATAAGGCTTGTTAGTTATATGGGGTCTAGGGCGAGTTTTCACCCGATTTTATTCAATATAAGCACACAAATGCGCCGTTACGAGAACATGCTCTCTCAATCGTATTAAAATAGCTCACATATTCGCCGATATTAGCGATATAAAGCCACCCGGAAGTTAGAAAATTCTGATATTCGGTATTTGGGAGCTAAGGAAAGAATTGACTCGATTCAAATCATTTTTAATACACAGAAATATTATTATCAGGAAAAGATTCTCTTCAAATTTTAATTATATATCTTGCACATTGATCAATATTTTCGGTAAAAAGTCAACTATGGGCTCTGGGGTCAACATATTTGGTACCCATTCTTTTGGTCCTAAGGTGGCTTAATTCAAAGCCATTAGTCGTACAAAGTTTTAACCCGTTATATTAATTGTTTCTTCATTTGTAAACAGGACTGGCCGGTCTCGAGACCTAAAAGTGGGCGGTATCACTCCCGTCATCCAATTTTGACCCCAGCTCGTTTAAGTCTCCCTCATACCATCTCGAAGGTAAAATTAAATATCTTTGGCGTATTTAGTTATTGATTTATTGCGCTTTTAGTAGATTTTAATTGAACCGTTATATCCGATGCTGGGTTATCATCCGATTTCATCCATTTTCACATTGTCGGTAGAGGTTCCAATAATATTGTATTGTATTACATATTGTACATTAAACTTATTAGATGGCGGTGCCACGCCCACTTTTTCTAAATTTTTTACGTAATATATCCTTCACAAATAAAAAAGTTTCTATACTGAATATTGATCGATCAGTTTATCGGTTCCGACAAATCTGCAGCTTTTTCGAAAAAAGAGGATGAGTGAAAATTTTCAGATCGATATCTCAAAAACTGAGAAACTACTTTGGATACATACAAACAGACGGGCATGGACAAATCGTCACGACTAGTCATATATATTTTATTGAGTCTGAGTGTTACAATCTTCGTGACAAATAATGTACCCTGTTCAGGATGTAAAGAAACTTCGAATTAGTTGGTGTTTCGAAGCGCCAAGCTTTGGATATGATAAATATACTGAGACAATGGAGTGGGTACTGGAATTTCGAATTACGATTGTTACAGGACTTCAGTCCAATCTAAAAATGAACAAATGCACGTCTGTAAACACTTTGTACTTCCTTATCTAATACATTTATCACTCCATTTTTGATACACAGACCACTCAAATTCGTTTGAAATGGAAACAGAGTGCACCCCGGATGGAATGGATAATCTCGAGTGGGAAGATGAATTTATCGAAAACTGCAACGATTGTGAGCAGAGTAGTGGAGAACACGTTGCACAGGATGCTGCAGAGACTTCCCTCTATTATTATTATGCCAAAACGTTCGAACGTACCGGTGCCATTATCACCCGCATGGATGAGCCATATGCTATCGCCACGAACTGTGGACACCAGCAGGATGTACATCGCGCTGATGCGCTCTTGATGACACCGCTACATTATGCCGCCGCTTGTGGACACGTGGAGTGTGTGCGTGTATTACTCTCACACGGCGCCACAGTGGATGCCGTTAATAGTGACGGTTATACACCATTACATGTGGGCGTGGCCTATGCGGAAGTGGCGCACATGCTGCTGAAACATGGCGCCAATCCGAATTTAAAGACGCTGAACACCGGTGAAACAGCGCTGCATTTGGCTATAAGGAATCATTCCGTGGCAGTGGTAAGCTCATTGTTACGTACATATAATTTTTGCTAATGATATAAAAAATGCGTTCATTACAGGCCAATGTTATTTTGCAAACAAATATGAATATCAACGAAACGGATGACATCGATCAGACGCCGCTGATGTGCGCTATAGTGGCTAACTTGGACGGTCTTGCGGCGACACTGATCGAACGTAGCGCACGCATCAACCTGCAGGACAAGGAGGGACACAATGCACTCTACTACGCTGTGGTGCAGAATAATGTGCCGCTCACAGTGCGCTTGTTGAAACGTGGCGCACGGCGCATCACTTCCCATTACCTGCTGCACCATTGCGTACGCTACAGCATGCGCGAGATGGCTGAGACCCTAATCAGCCACGGCGATAGCTTGAATGTGCGCAACAAGGATGGTCTCACACCCATTCTGATCGCGATACTCAGCCAAAAGATCGACATGCTGGAATTCTTGCTGCGCGTGGCCACGGCGCAACAATCACAGGGCAACACGATAGTTGACACGGTCGAAAACGAGTTGCTCATCGCCGTGCAATATATAGATACCGTACAGGACTTCATACCCATTGCGCGCATATTGTTCGCACATAGTGAGGGGCGTTGGATGTGTGCTTCGTTTACTTCAATATCGTGGTCGTGTTACATTCCCTATTGTCAGACGCCACTGGCGCGCGCTGTTATGCTCAACAAATTCGATATCGCCGAGTTTTTGGTCAAAGAAGGCGTAGACATAACACAGGTGTGTGGCGATCATGGGATCAATCATTTGCGCGGTACAAATGCGTCTGGTGCTTTGGAGTTCGCCAAGTTGCTGGGTAAGCGAATAATTTCGTACTTTAAATAGAAAAGGCAATAGTTTTATTATATTTTCTATGCTTTAGTGCATACTGGTTACAAATTTCCGATACTGCGTACCGAATTAGCCAATAAATGGACCGACGAGCGTCGTCACTTCGAAGTGGAAATGTTTCGGTTGTGCAGCACACCCTTGTCACTGCAGTCGCTATGTCGGATTGTGATAAGGAATCAACTTTTAGGTCTGCTCAGTGGTTCGGCCGTGATGAGACAACGATACTCAACAACGAAGCGTGAATCGAGTTTGTGTCGTATGATAAGACTTTTGGGTGTACCAAAGATACTTCAGGCGTATTTATACGAGTTCGACGACTGCGCGTCTGTGATGAAAAATACCTGTAATGTGGATGGCGGTGGTTAGCATGAAAAGTAAGGCTGTTATATAGGTATAAGTGGATAGTTCATAAAGTTTATTTAGAATTAAGATAGGATTTCACACAATAATACTGGGTTGATGAACGAGTAAATTATTTTGCTCAGCGTATGTGTAGTACCCATCTTTAACATTACTGAGAGCCATTAGCTATGAGTAAAATGATTGGATTAAAGGTACACTTAACCTAAAAATAATGTAGAATGAGTTAAATGATCGCTTTTCACTGTTGATTACGAAATATTAGTGTATTCATATATTGATATTCTAAGTTTCAAATCTTACTTCCAGTCATCAGTTGGTATTTTTCGATCGGCTTAGAATAGGCATTATTAAAGTATGGCGGTTTGAACAGCTTATTAGCGTTAAGGGGTTAGGTTATAGTCAGACACATCAAAAATTATCAATTTCAAATATTTTTATTGCCAGTAAATTATTTAATTATTTTAAAAGTAATGGCTATTTGTGAGGCTACAGTTCCAACAGAAGCTTATTGAAGTTTCCATTGCTACTCCTTGATTATTCATCTAAAATCAAACGCACAAAAAAAAAAATTTTTTTTTATGGAAAATTTCGTACCTGGTCGATGCTCTTTTAATAAACAAAATGGTGGTCTCATTAACAATTTTTACAAATTTTCGGGAAAAAACAATTGTTTATTTATGTAAAATCGAAATTACAAGAAAAAATCAAAAATCTGTTAAAAATCATTACAAACTACCAAGCGGTTTCCGAGCTACAGTAGTCACAAGTTCAAAAACCATGGTTTAAAAAAAAACACATTCGAAGTTTAATACGCACATTCCAGAGCACCCAATAAGCATTTGCTGATTATCGAATAACTCGAAAATTATTTGTCGGATTACAGTTAGAAGGCTGAAAAAAAGTGAATTTTCCATAATTTTTTCCGAGAAAACTTTTAAATTTAAAGTTCCAAGAATCTGTACACATATTATGGTATCTTTTAACTGTATTTGAAGACTTAGTATTAGTAAAGATATTTACTTGGAAAGAAACTACAGCTGTTCTCTGGGAGCTCCTCTCAAAAAAGACGTTTTGACAGGAACAATATTTAAATTTTTGTGTTTAATCTTAAACCTATTTACATTAAGAAAATAAAATTAAAAAAAATCGATTTTTTGAAAATTCTAACTGTATATGACCCTTAAGAAATTCCAAATAATTTTTTGAAAATACTGACATATTCTAACCCGATTTTTGAGCTGACAAGCTGAGGTTAGAGTACATTTATATGTCTGGCAATTGAAGTCCACAAAATGGCTCTTATACCCTTAAGGTTTAAAAAAACGAAACATACATACTTACATATTTATGTACATAGTTTAAAAAAATGCATAAATACATTATAGTAATAGGTTCGGCACATTTCAAGTGTTCCTTAGGTAAACCCTTTTATCGACATAGAGGTACCCCAATTAAAGATTGCATTTGAAACTAAATGTTAACAAAAAAATAAACATAGTTACTTACTATGACGTTGTTGTTCTACTGTAGTCGCTTAGTAGAATACAGCAGAAGAATAACAAACATGCATATTTATCATTTTGAAAGTTTTATATATAGATATCAAATTTTATTCGTTTTTGAAATGCAATTATGTATTTTAAAAATGATTTTTAAACTTTCTCACATCATTTATACAGTGTTTTAAGACAAGTAAATATAAAATACAACATTTTGAGGACATCGCAACATACATACATACATATGTATGTAGTTAGTATGTTATATAATACGCATATAAATGGTTACATACATGATAAAAGCTCAATAGGTGCAACAAACACATAATTCCAACCTCATCACATTAATAAGATCTCGTAGCGTGTAGTTAAAAATATATTATAGCATATACATACGAGTAATATAAAGTTGTAGTTTAATTAATAAACAAAAAAATTAACGTCAACAGGTGAGCATGTGCTACATTTGTAAGGCCAAAGTTCCAATTAAGCAATCGAGTCAATAAAACATTGCAGTACATGCAAATATTTAAAATGCCAAACTTTTATTCCAACAATGTTTTCGAAAGAAATGTATTTGGTTTCCCGAATAAAATGCAATTTTCTTATATTTTAAACTAATAAAACACTACAAAACGGATTAATATACATAAATATATTAATATACCAAAATGCGCCACATCGAAATCAATGTATGCCTCTGTGTGAAAATGCAGCTAAGGTTTCGCTTTTGCGGCTTTACTTGATACTTTTTTCAACTAATTATGCTTGTCGCAATTTCTGATTTTTAATTAATTACTTTGTAAGCTCTTTCACTTTGAGTCTAAGGCTTAAGTAACATTTTGAAATCATCGTTGGCATTCTCCATTATATATTCGTAGGGGATTTTCTCTTTCTTATCCTTGATTTCTTTCAATTTCGGATCCTGCTCCAACAAAAATTTACAAACATCCAAGTGTCCACGGATAGCAGCACGATGCAGCGCAGTCTGCCCGTATTCATCCTGCAGTTGGAGATTAGCTTTCGCAGCAACCAGTAATTTCACAACATTCAGATGACCTACAACAGCAACGCAAAATTTCTTCAATCGGAATATTAATTAATGGCGTGCAATAAATATAATTACCCATCATGGCAGCGCGATGCATGGCTGTGGCGCCCGCCTTGGTAATGGCATCCACATCAGCTTTGCCATCTTCGATTAACATTTTGCATATTTCCACGTTGCCATTGCGCGCTGCATAATGGAGTGCAGTGTAGTCGAAATCATCGCGGTCCATGGATTTGCCGCGGCCAATGAAATTGCGCACGCGCTCCGGCTCATTGTAGATAGCTGCAGGAAAAGAAAAGTTAACCGATATAAGAAGATTTTAAACAAAATCAACCTCCTAATTCACAAGTGAGCGAAGAAACATTGGAGACTATAAAAAATCTTTTTCACCTCAAGGAACTCCTCATTAATCGGAAGCATATACAGTTGGGTCTCAGTAACCGGAACGGACCCGGATTTTTATCCGGCCGGGGACTCTCAATTCGGCACCATGCCCCGAAATTACTTCAGGCATGTTTTCTGCCGCTACAACAACAACAACAACAACAACTACATAAAATCAAATAGACCACAATTGAGCCCTAATATAATATGTAGAACTTTTGCATAGGAAATTTGGCATGGATTGTTCTCAAATGCAACAGTATAATTCCCGAATATTTTTTTTAGATCGGGCTACTATAGCATATGAGTGCCATACAAACTGATCGATCAAAATCGAGATATAGATCTTTTCATACCCTATAAGAAATGCACCTGTGGAGGGTATTTCAGCTTCGGTGCAACCGAAGTAACATGTTTTTTTTTTTTTTTTGGTTTTTAAAGTTTTAGTTTGAATTTCGTTCAATCGCACCTGCATTCCAGATTCCGCGATCGAATTCCATATCAGTTAGCGTTTGTTGCGCTGGCGCCGCCTGCTTGTGACACTTGCAGTGATCCGCGTCATGTTGATCCATTTTTACTAAATGTTTATAATTTTACTTTTTAAGTTCTTTTGAATTTTGTTCGATTTATGTATGTATATTTCTAATGTGTGCTTTTCAATGTTTATGACTTGAACCAATTTTCGTTTTTAATTTCGCTTTTAGCTAAATGAGAAATTCAACACTTATATTTTGGGTTTTGGAAAAAAGTTTTTTTAACTCCTAACAAAGAAAAATAATATGTTTACAATTTTCTTAAACTTTTAATTTTATGCGTATGTTTTTAGTATTAAATATTTGTTGAATACACTAGATATTTTCATTATTATTTTTGTATAGCATAGCATTTATGTAAATCTGTCGGTTTTGTCTATTTTGTTAACAGTTAAATTTGCAAATTTCAGTAAGTATTAAACTTTAGTTGTTCGGCTGTCATGCTACGATGAAGGGTGGTTTAAATTTCGCGTTGCATAGTCCAACTGATCTCCGCCTCACCACAACTACAAATTACTTTATAGCTCAATTGCGCCAATGTGTTTACCATATCCATCGGTGGAATCGTTACCATTATACCATTCACGGCTCCCTTTAAACCGTTAGCGAAACGTTTGGACAACGCTAGGATTTCCGTATCATTAAGACCGAACACGGCGCATGAGCGATCGTGCAGCGAGCCCTTCACCGTCACATATGTGTAGTTCTCTTCGTTTTGTACAATGGGTACGGGTATGGTAACAACATTCGCCACCGAATTCGGCACAGAGTTTGTTGAGGTCGCTGTCTGGGCAGCCACCGATGATGTAGCTGTGGTGGTGACGTAGTTAACGGCTGCTGCTGCCGCACCGATATTGGTGTTCGGGTTGCTGGGGGCGGGTTGCGCCTCTGCGGGCACAGGTTGTGCGGGCGTTTGTGTTGGTATTTGGGCGTCCATTTTTTTTTTTTTTTTGTTTGCAACACTTGTTTCTTTAGTTTATGTTCAACTTGTAACTATACTTTGGTTGGTGGAAAATTTATTTTAAATGCAATTTAATAATAAAACAAAAAACGAAGGATTTAAAAGTGTAAAACTTAATTTCTTCTAAAGTCTTTTTTTATGATTTCAACAAAATTACTTCTAAAGTATTTTGCTTTCTTTCACTACTATGCACGATTAGCAGTGTTTTGATATTGTTGTACTATGTAATTAGTAAAATTTTCTTTTGCACTCGTTTGTTGAAACTGATTTGTTCTAACTTTGCACCCGCACTTTTTCGTGGTGCAACGTTATTTTTGTTGTTGTTTAATCTCTTTAGTCCACCTCCTTTTGACTTTTTGCATATGTTTTTCTCGTGGCGGGGAGATCAGAGGCTAGTCACGAGCTTTCGTTAGAAATCACATAGAGAGATACATGTGTATGCATATTTTATGTGTACTTTATTAAATTTCTTATTCAGGCGAGTCAACTTTGTGATAGCTGCCCAAACCAGCTGCTTCGCGTCCTATATTCGAAAGGTTCTCACGCACAACGGATTCTGTTTCTAGCGGCTCTGGTTCGTGGAACTCTTTACGCATAGTCCACATATACTCGTTGTAGTCCTGCTTAACGGATGTTGAGGAGGAAGCGACCACACGGAAACCTAAAATCTAAATACAATTGAAAGTTAGTTGATATGCATATATTGAAAGAAGAAGTCAGAAAACATTTTGTCTGCTCAATTGTATTTTATATACATATGTACTTATACGTATATAAAAGTATGCATTATTAACAATTTTTCACTCATTCTTTTTTTAGTTTACTAGAAATGTATTGTTTTTAATATGTTTAGTAACTCCTTTTCAAAGGAGTACATTTGTATCTTTTATACGAACTTATTTTTTGTATTTTCATTTTTGTTACAGCAAAAATCTAAAATAACCTAATTTTATTCCGCTAACGCCGTAAATATGGAAATATATAGGCCACCGCGGTATAATAAAAATAAAATATGCTATAAAATTTACAAGGAAATGGCTTAATTCTGACTAACCAAAATGAATAACTGGGTTGCCACAAATGACAATCGTCAGCAACATCTACATTTACATAAAAAACGAATAGTATGTTAATGACAGCGGTTTCAGTAGACTGGACTCATTAAGAAAAACGTGACACACCCGATTGCAATAAAAGTAAAATATTAACAAGTCAGGAAGGCTAATTTCGAGTGTAACCGAACATTTCATAATCTTGCAACTAGCATGGATCACAGCCGGAGAAAATATTTTCAAAGTAAAAGAATCAAAAATTATTCGACGAAATCGTGAAAGGATATCAATAAAATTCGGTATCTTATTAATTTATTGAAGGTCATGTGCTCACTTAGTTTTAGTAATATATTTTACTTCATGTCAGCGAAAATTATACTGAAATGAGATATATCTGGCAAAAATTCAACCGAAGATGAAAATTTTTTGAGCTGATAAGAAAAACCTCAACCAGAGCATCGTAATAAATATTAAAGGGATAAACGATTTAAGAGCAGATGTGAAGTCAGAAATTACTACACAAAAGATATTTAAGGCAGAAAAAGGTCTAAGCTGATTGCATTAATTATTTGCTAACGATTATATTGCTACTACTTTATTGGCATTTGATTAACATTCTCTAAAGGGAAACATTCATATGGAATTTAAATGTCTACGACGCAGTTATAAATTTTTAGTAATTTTCAACATAACCATTAAGTGGGTAATGGGAGTATTTGAAAGTTCTTTTAGAAAGTGCGGTAGAAATAGCTTTAGTAGTTTGTGAGATAAGATATAAAACTTCAAAATATTAATTAAAGTAAAATTCTTCTTCCCTCCGCAACTTTTGCCGAATCACAAGCTACTTATAAAATCCAATCCCTCATACATTGCAATTTTTATTTACTGAACAAATTTGCAGATAAAAGATAAAGTTCTTAAAATATTTACACTTTGTTGTGTACAAAATTAAGTAAATCTTATGTACCTCAAGCGCTGATAAAATTCGACATGGATGCACCAGATAAACTATTGTTGTCTCATCACTGTAACCGCCACATGAAAATTTATTCAACTGTTCAATTTCATCCGCTGTAAAATATAAAAAAAGCATTAATGTTATTGTAATAGAATATTAAAAAATTCTAAAAAATTAAAGTAGAAACAACAAATAAATTTGTATTAAAAACGACAATAAATTTTTTAGCTTTCGTAAAATTGTAAGAATAAAAATGCCAGCAAATTTGTTTGGAAACTCGTTTGCGATATTGAAAAATTAAGACCCAAATAAACAACTAAAAAAGCTTTGCACAATACAAGCAAGTGTAAAATATCACGAGTGATAGATAAAGAATAGCGAACAAAAACAGACTTAAACAATATAATAAAGAAAGCAAATCACAAGTGATGTCATCACAATGTGTGACGACTGTAATCAATAAAATGTCCACATACATATTTGCGGCCACAACGCAAAATTATACAAAGTATTTAAAGATATGTCGAATTTTATCAGCAGCACCGTGTATGAGTATATAAAAGTAAATACATATGTAAATCAACTTCATTAGGCGCGGCCGTTCTGGGGGAAAACTGCAGTAATTGGCAAAAGCACACCAAAAATTAAGTCATTCACACGCACTAGGCTTCGTAGTATGAACATATTTAATTTACACATTTACAAAACAAGTGAATCGTCACGATCTCTTTCTAAAGGTTTTTTTTTTTTTTTTTGTTTCACACAAATTCCACGGTATTGCAAATGTAAAATTTGTATAGTCAACGTTATTCTTGTTATTCTTAATACGCAAAAACCTAAATACACTTTCGATTTTAATTGAAATATTTCCCTTGTTTGTTTCTTAGATTTAACAATCGGCCAGACGTATGAATAGAAGCAGTTGAAGATTTGCAATATAATGTCAATATTTTTAGATTATTCCACAAGTACCCTAATATTACTTATATGGTAAATTGATTTGTAGCTGCGACTGCTTTACTTTTACTGGGAACTAGCCAGCATATGGCACAAAAGCACTAAACGACGTCCGAGCATGGAATGATTTGGCATTAAATAAAATTGAAGTGAATGCTCCTCTCTCCATTCGGATAGAGTTGGCAAGCAGTAGCGCTGCTATTAAATTGTTGTTTGGCTGCGTTATTTAATTTTTGTTTTAATTTTTGTTTCATGTTGATTTGTTTTGCTTGTTTTCTCGTGTTCTTTGCTCATGTCATTTGCCGGTGGTGCGTCATTCAGTGTATTTCACTGCAAAATATTGCATGGGTGAAAACAATACATATAAATTTACTTTAGCACATACAGTTGTCCACAAAAAAATAGGAACGACCACATGCGTAAAATGAATCTTTCAATTTTATATAAGAAAAATGTTTTTGTTACAAAAATTTAGAAACAACTTCCCGGAAAAAGTGATAATTAATATTTCCATAGTCCATATACCTATGTATGTATGTATGTACATATTTCAATTGAGTGTAAATAACATGTTATATCACAATTTATATCAAATAAACTTGGTTTTTCTGTTTCCACATAAAAATAAAAGCATTCTACGTTGTATAGAAAAGTCTAAAAATTTTAAAGTAAAATGGTTTCAAACCTTTACAGAATTAAATACACAATCCATATTTCACTGAATAGCTAATCTTAATATCCCGTTATGTGTACGGCGATTTTACCTCATCAATTGCATGTGATCCAGGAAAATTATGCTGCTAAATACATTTTTAAAATTGGCATTTCTATTATTTTGTGAACAACTGTACATATGTACTAAGTAGAAAGATATAATCTTTTTTACATTTCAGTTGGTTAACATTAGGTACGTGTATCTAAACAGGCGCAGAAAGGTACTGCGCGTACATATGTACCTACATACTTATGTATAGAGGTTAATTGTTTTAACCGCATTAAGGTTATTTATTGGATTTTTATGGGACACACCTAACGTGAAATTTCTGAAAGAGTCCACTTTTTTGTTCTTTTCATATTTGAATAGTGTATACCATTAAAAACAATGTAATATTTGAAATAAATATGTTTATGCTATTCCTTATTTCGCTATATTGTGCACACTTATAGCGTGTACATACAAATATGTATGTATTAACTATTTAATGATTCTGTAGCCATCGGATAAAAATGTCACACACCTGCGATAAACTGGAACGTGCATTGCTACTACATATAGATATACTCATTATTTGTATATACAACCTTATCACAGCCAATTGTAGACACTAATTGCTTCTGCGTAGTAAAGGTAATGAAAAACAAGTAAGTGCTAAATTCGGTTGCAACCGAACATTTTATACTTTAGCAATTTTGAAAAGTCAAAGCCGGAGTCATATTTTTAGGTATTGGCTAATTTTTATTAAAGAAAACACGTTGCGAAAAAGTTCAACATGTATTGTTCGAAGTTAAATAATGGAATAAATTAAAAAATTTTCTAAGCACAGACGCTTCTTCCAACTCCGACACACTGCAAAAAATTACAATTTTGTATATATTCGCTATGTTTTCGATTAAGGGTAGTTTCTGGGCATAAAGGCCCGACTCCGCCCATCTATGGTATTCTTATGGTACTAAGAAACACGTATACCAAGTTTTATCCAGATATCTTAATTTTTACTCAGATTACAGCATGCACAGGCAGACAACTGGAATTCAACATAAATATGTCAATCAGTTTAGCTATTGCAAACAATAATTACATAGGTGAACAAAATAATAATAATAATCTTTAGCAACAGGTTGATAGGGTAAAAAATAAAAAAAAAATACAAACTAAACTTTTAGCGGCTTGATTAAGATAATTAGCATGTTCCAAGTAGAAAAAAATCATAAAGCAACAAAAGAGTTACAACTCAGGATATTTGAGCAAAACACAAATATTTAATCCGTTTATAGGTTTTCAAGTATTACCTTTTAGGCCGGAAACCAAGACACGCCAGGGATATTTATGGCTGTAAGACGCTAAATTGCCGCGTATGATAATGTAAGGCATTTGTCCAATAACGATGGCGTCAGCTATACTCTAATTGTGAGAACACTTTTACAATAGCGACGGTGTAGAATCCTAGATATCAATTAATCATTCAATCACTTTATTGAGTAACGTAATGAATTGAGTAAAGTAAGTCAGTAAATGGCCATAAATTATTCAGGTAGCAAACAAAAGTAAAGCGCTTTTCAAATCTGATAATCAAACGTGACAGCGAAAAGTATGAACACTTTCAAACAAACACGACAAAGCTCTCAAACTAACTGATTTTCAGTACTATATTCAGTAGTTACGATATGCTAAAGGTAAGCTGCCTTAAAGCTTTTAGACCAGGCTTTTTTGCATAAAAGCTATTATACCCTTCACAAAAACAAAAAAATTCTACAAGAACAGTCCGATTTAAACAATTTATTCGGGGATTGTATCATTGCTTTTGACAATAATTCATTCCAAATTTCATGAAGATATCTTGTTAAATAAAGAGGTTTTTCTAGAAGTATTGAATTTGTTCAGTTTGTATACGGGCTATATGCTGTAGCGTTCCGATATCGGCGAAAATTAACAGCTTCTTGGGGAGAAAAGGACGTGTATCGATATCTCAAAAAGTAATTAACTAGTTCGCAGACATGTCCGAGTTAAGGGTTTAACGTTTCCTTCTTGTTGCTACAAACTGTTTGGTACACTTTATGTAACCTGTTCAAGGTATAAAAATACAAATAGTAAATGCTTGACTTGCGAACAACCTATGTACATATGTAGTTCGCATTAATTTTTTAGACGGATAATATTGCATGACATTTATATTGCATGTTTCGAAGTACGTAATACTAAATAAATATTAAATTGTATGTACAGCTGCCGTTTGCCTTGATTAGACGCAACTTAAGCTAATTCTTATTCTAAGCCAACATTTTTGTACGTCCAGCGTGAATATAAGAACGTTTTTTATTCATAAGTCATAATAAATTGATACGTTACGCACATACATATTTTGGTTGTATGTATGAATCATTAACTATTTTCGTTAGAATATAATGAAATTTCTAATAATAACCTTATATCAATATTTAAAAGCCCTACTAAAAATAATCTATAAAATATTCAGAAAATAGCAATATATTATTTTCACTTTTAACAATAAAGAGCTGTATTGCATGGTAAAGGTTTCTTGTATATTTGGCTGCAAAATAAGTCTGAAATTCAAAATGAATAAGCAAATAACCAGTTCTCTTTCGAGCTGTCCAATTTTTTTAATTTCAATAGTATTTGTCGCAACTTTCACAAATTAATTTATGCAACCTCATAAGCACAAATAATTTTAATTCACTGTAGCCATGATAAAATACTAATTTAGATAAAATTACGCTGCTTTGATTGACTCACTTTATTAATATTTATTGTAGTTTTTCACCGCATTCGTGTTTGTTAATTTATGGTTATGCTCTTGCTTAGATAAATATTTGTTATACCAAAATGCAAAATTTTTGTTGAAAAACTCCGAATTCACCAGATTTTCTATTAATTTAATAGTATTTCTCAGATGCCTTATTATTCTCACTCAAAATTATCTACATAAACGTCAGAAATAATAAAATAAAAATGTATAAATAATACAGCCGCATCTCCACTGGCAATAACTATTGCCTACCATCTATCCAGTCTATTATCATTGAAGTTAGCATTTGATATCATGCAATAATTATTATAAGAATGGCGTTGGATACATATGTCTGTCCGTTCGAACAGAAGTAAGCTGATAAGTACCGAAAATGTAATAAATCTACTTGTTCGACAAATGTATGCATTTATATGATTAAATACCTCAATATATTTTATGGAATGTCTATTTACCAACTCAATAAAATAATATGCGCAAACAATTACATATGCTAACAATTATTATGTACATATGTATTGTATTTAAATTTTTAAAATTTCTATTACTTTGCTAATTTGCAGTTACTGAACCAAACTTCAAACCTCCTGCATGCCATTTCTCTTTCCTGAACATAATTTTCTGTAGATGACAACAGCTATCAAATATTAAATTGTTATTGATTCCAAAATTTGTAATTGCAAATATTGCTAAACATACAAAATATGAAGTCTCTGTCTTCAAAATTGCCGGCAGTAATTCTAAACATCGTCTGTAGTCCGTCGAGCTGCCCATATTCATTGTTGCTATTGCAAAATAGAAGATGTAATCATAAACGATCATAAATCGCAAGAATTTTGTTTACGATGGAACGGCTGAAATTTTTAATTATTGTGATATACCACCATTAATCTGAATATTTAAAAAGCTGACAGCTAATATTCTGTATTATTTGCTAATTTAATAAATTTCTCGTTATGATTTATCGTTAAATGAATATACAAAGATGTTAGTAGAAAATGTTTTTGTTGGTTTATAATAAAATTTGTGGCATTCCACTGTTCTACTAATAAACATTGAAATATTTACTTTCTTTAAATTTCTGGCACTTATTATTTAAAATATTTATATAAATGTTATGTATAAATTATGTTAATTTCGAAACAATTTTTCGATAAAAAAAATGAAGAGATTTAACATCTCTGGTGTTCTCGGAGGAGTCTTCCGATTAATGTGTGCATTCTTTTATTTCTGCTCATGTTTTCATATATAAACAAACAGATAACTGAGTCAAATAGATCAAAAATTACTAACCAATTTTAAAAATAAGCATTTGGTATATATTTTGATAACTTTAGTGTAGTTTTAATAAATTGAATGGCTGTTCTACCTTTCATGAAAGTAAGGGAGGAGCCATTAAAAGGTTTGCGCGAAGGTATCACAACCATGCTATTATTTATAATATATACCTACAGGATGCTGTAGTACGAAAAGCAACTATAGAAAATATCTATACATCACTAAAAGAAAATATAGAATGTTTTAGTCTCAACTCAATTTTTCGGTGAGGAACATTATCGCCGGTAGCCAGAGCTTGCATCACAGTATATACTGAGGCTTGCATATAGTTACACAAATTTCCATATACACGCTCCCTAATTTCAATGTATAGGCTGCGAGACAGTTGATGAGCGATCAGCAGCTGTAGCGGGTAATTGAGAGCATTTTACATTTGTTTGCAAATTTACCGTGTGTTATTAATATTGAAAATAATAGCAAATGAAGTTTACAAAGTGAATATATAAATAAAAGAGAATATTTCTTAATAGCATCACTTTGAAAGTACCATATTGCCAATAAAAATATTTCAAGTATTTGAATTTTAAAGTGGTGACGAAGTCAAATTCCTCAAATAGGCTTAGTGTATACATCTACAGAGAAAAACAGTCGCACACGCAAGTGGCAAAGACCTTGGTCTACAAGAACATTGAGTGTAAAATTCATATCGAAAAATGTCGCACCTAGGAATTTTCTTTTTGCTGCTAACCTTTGTGCTAGTTGTTAACTCTATACCAGCATATGCAGGGGTCGCTCACGCTCATAAACACGAAAAACATAATAGTAAAGAACGGCTTAAGGATGGAATATATGCTGGACGTGATGCACATCATCATGAAGACGGTGACCATAATGTGGAATTTGATCATGAAGCAATAATAGGTGAGTGGAAATTGTATTTTTATGGGTAGTTCAAATTTTTAAAATGATCAAATTTAAACAAATAATTTTTCTATATATTTTCTTAAATCGTTTTAAAAACTTAATATTAGGTACTAAAGCAATTTAATAAAAACTAAAAAAATATTAACAATCATTAAACATTCCGCCAGTGATACAGACATAAAAGTGTATAAATTGCACTACAAAAATTTTTTGATTTCCTTT